TATGTACATGTAGCATTTTTTCTAAGCACCTGTGCATTGAAAGAAGCCTTCTTGTCTTCTCTAGCTGGTGAGGTTCGGGTATCGAGCTGGCTTCCCTTTGTAGTTTGGTCCTTTGACCTCCTCTTGTGATGTTGGTGTGACCTCCAATGTCAGCGTGAGGTCCGTAAGCTTTGTTCTTCATATATGTGGATCTTCTCATGGCAACGGTTTTGATGGTTTCTTTCTAATATGTTGGTTTGGTTTTTTTTTTGAAAATAGGGGTTAAAACCCACTGTCTCTGCATCAATTGATGCATACACCAATCTTTATTAATTATTCAACAAAGGTCTGATAAAAATATACATCAAGCCACCCGAAGTTACCACTCACACTTATAAACTACATAATATAGAATGCTCTCACTTTCCATATCTCAAACCGATGTCGTCAACTTCCAGACTGTAACCATTGTTGACGTTAGCCAGGGATGGAGATGCAGCAACGGCAACTCAAATTTGGATGAAGATGATTACTAGCAATAATGCAATAAATGTTGATTCAGGGTACTCTCTCCGTCACAGTTTAGAAGACATATTTAAATTTGCGTGCATTTCTACAATAGACAAGGTTTAGGGTGCATTGCATTTATTTCTAATAGCTAATCAGTATTTTGATATATTATTTTTATATGCATGAGTAGTGTGAATGCTATTTTTTAGCTCATCTCACAACCAGTAGATAACCACCTAGGTCCGAAAGAATTTCCAAGCACGCCTTCTAAACCGTGACGGAGGGAGTAATTACAATTAATTTAATTAATAATGGCTGCAAGATTAACTGTAAATAATGCAATTGATATTGTTTCCAGATAATTTGCATTACATTTATTCCAAATTAACGGTCATGTGTTTGATAATAGTATACACTACTAAAGCAACGTGATGCGTTGGATATAGGTGGTCGAATGACTGAGATCATTAGTACTCCATCCATTACAAATTACTCGTCGCAAAAATGAATGTATCTAAAACTAAAATACGTTTAGATACATCCATATCTATAATAAGTACTGTAATTCGAAACGGAAGGAGTAGAATATATTTCCTCTGTCTGGAAATACTTGTCATCAAAATAAATAAAAGGGAATGTATCTAGATGTATATTAGTTCTAGATACATTTCTTTTTATTTATTTTGATGACAAATATTTTCGGACGACGGAGGGAGTATCATATCATCCCGGGCCGCTTGGTCTGTTTTTTTGTTTGGTTTGTGTTGTGTGTTTGCTGTTGCGTGCGCCGCACCGAACCACCGCCAGCCCACCGCCACCCTCGCAACGGTCTGGTCGCCGGAGTGCTGTCGGAGAAGCAATAAGTAGCTAGCCAGCCAGCACATGGCCCCGTCCTCCCAAACGGCTACTTTCTCGCCCCTTCCGCCGCCTTCCGGAACCTTGCTCCGGCTCCGGCACCTGACCAACCAACCTCACCATGCCGCGCCGGCGCCTGTGCCGCGCGGTCCTCGCCGTCGCCGGAGCGGCCTACCTCGCCTTCCTCCTCCTCTTCGAGCTCCCGCTCTCGTCCCCGTCCTCGTCGTCTTCAGCCTCAGGAGCGCTGACCACCCACCGCTCCCGCCGCCGCGAGCTCGAGGCCTCGGCCTTGGCGTTCCCCTCCTCGCGCTTCTCCCCCTCCCGGCCCGCGTTCCCCGCGGCCGTGTCCCCCTCTCCGTCCTCCCCGCCGCCGCTCCCCATCTTCTCGTCCCTCCTCCTCCTCCCCCGGTCCAACGCCACGGCGACCCCCTTCGACGGCGCCGCGGCCGACGCCTTCTCCGCCGCAAGGCCCCATCTTGCGCACCTCCAGACCGCCGCATCCGCGTCCGCATCCGCCGCCTCCCCGCCCCCGTCCTCCCCGATCTGCCCGGCCTCCATCTCGCTGCACGCGGACAAGCTCCCCGCCGACGGGGTCCGGACGGTGGAGCTGCCGTGCGGGCTGGCGGTGGGGTCGCACGTGACGGTGGTGGCGCGCCCGCGGCCCGCGCGGCCCGAGTACGACCCCAAGATCGCCCAGCGCAAGGACGGCGGGAAGACGCCCCTCATGGTGTCGCAGTTCATGGTGGAGCTGGTGGGCACCAAGGTGGTGGACGGCGAGGCGCCGCCCAGGATCCTCCACTTCAACCCCAGGATCCGCGGGGACTACAGCGGCAAGCCGGTGATTGAGATGAACAGCTGCTACAGGATGCAGTGGGCGCAGTCGCACCGCTGCGAGGGCTTCGCCTCCCGCCCCGCCGAGGAAACTGGTGAGCTTCAGATTTGCTTGCTCAATTCGTTTAACACTTCAGCTAGGTTGAATGAATCCATGTTGATTTCATTTGACTTCATCTTGCCATCTCGTGTTCTTCCGTTATCTAAGAGGATTGGATTGAAGTTATTAGTAGGAACTAGCAAGGGATGCCATCAATTTCAGTGGTCTAATTGCTTGTACTACTAACAGCGTAGAAAAAAAAATGCAAACTTTGGCAAGAAATTTCCAGAGGGTTCGATTTCTTTTGCTTTATTAAGGGAATGTTTCTGATAGTGATTGTGCTTGATTTGTCTAATTGATGGAATATTATTTATGAGAATTAAAGAAGCATGGACCTATAACCGTGTTTTGAGGATTAAAGCAATGATGTGAGTTTGACTTCAACATGGCGGTGGGTACTTGAACTCCCTGTTCCCATTTCTTCTTAGCCAATCAGTGAAGGAAGAACACAATAATTGAGTGCTTAATTAGTTATGCATATCTAGTCTGATTGTTCCATTAGTTGGTTGCAACCAAATTAGTTCAGCAATTATTCTCATTGTTTGGAGAAGCTGCGAGTGAAGCTTCTCCAATTTGGGTTAATATTCCGAGGAAGTAGGCATTTTCGTCGTTCTGCAACATATCCATTCCCCTTTTCCCAAATCATTCTAAAATGAGTTGAATCGCACTTTTTCTTACTTCATTCTAAAAATGGCATGTTGACCTGGTTTGATCTTTCAGTTGATGCTCAACTCAAGTGTGAGAAATGGATTCGGGATGATGACAACAAGTCGGAGGAGTCAAAGATGAAGTGGTGGGTAAAACGTTTAATTGGTAGGTCAAAGGATGTGCACATCAGTTGGCCATACCCATTCGGAGAAGGCAAGTTGTTTGTTTTGACTCTCACAGCTGGTTTGGAAGGTTACCATGTCAATGTTGATGGGAGGCATGTCACTTCATTTCCTTACCGCACTGTAAGTTCTCCGTCGATAATCTTCACATCACAAATCTGGTTCAATTACATGAGTAGCCTCCTGAGATACACATATCTGATTTTTGTGGTCTCTACAGGGTTACACTCTTGAGGATGCAACTGGGTTGTCTATCAATGGAGACATTGATATTGAGTCAATTTTTGCTAGTTCTCTACCCAGTTCACATCCTAGTTTCTCCCCAGAGAGATACCTTGAAATGTCGGAGCAATGGAGGGCCCCGCCGCTACCAACTGAACCCGTCGAGCTTTTTATTGGCATTCTGTCAGCAGCGAGTCATTTTGCCGAACGTATGGCTGTGCGCAAGTCATGGATGATGTATACAAGAAAATCATCTAATGTTGTAGCTCGGTTCTTTGTGGCTCTGGTAATTACTTGCTTTTCCCGTGTTTTTGCTTGTTGTTTACATATACCAAACTCTGACCAAATTAAGCAATTTCACAGAATGGTAAAATGGAGGTCAATGCAGAGTTGAAAAGGGAGGCAGAGTTCTTCCAAGACATCGTCATAGTGCCTTTCATGGATAGTTATGATCTTGTAGTTTTGAAGACCATTGCCATTGCGGAGTATGGGGTAAGTGAACTGAAATATGTTAGATAACTGCTTATGTTCTGCCATTTTGTCTCACGCCGCCAGTTTTATTGACGTTTCTATACTGATTAATGGTCATGTGTATCCAGGTTCGAGTCATCCCGGCAAAATATGTGATGAAATGTGATGATGATACATTTGTTAGAATTGATTCCGTACTGGACCAAGTAAAGAAAGTTAAAAGCGATAAGAGTGTGTATGTGGGAAGCATCAACTACTACCATAGACCACTGAGATCTGGCAAGTGGGCTGTGACTTATGAGGTAAATTGCTGTCCTGTACTACAGAACCACCATTCATCATCTATATTGCTTAAGAAATGTGAAATGAAAAATACAACCAACTAGCACACTCGTGTTTCCGCTTACTGCGAAATGACAAGCAATCAATCACCAACCAGCACCCGGTATGCTATCTGTGAAAACCATTATGTGTGTTTGCTGTGCAAATTAGCAGGCACATCAAAAGCGCAAATCTTGTAGTGATTTATGAGGATAGTTGTTGGAATGATTAAATAAATATTGACAGTCGACAAATTGTTTTACGTGGAAAAACTCTTTGTGCAAGAGGAGTAAAAACTATGGGATCAACAAAGTTCAGTTTTAAGTTCTTGTACTAATGTACATATACTTGAATATGTGCATTATAGAAATAACTTGGCATCAAAAGTGGATTTTACATTTCTCTGGTGAGTCAGAGGTCTTGCGTTCATATTTTATACTTGGAACATGGATATATAATCTTGTGACAACAAAATCTGGTGTTTTGTACTTTGTGCTGTCCTTGTTGGCCTTCCATCTTCCTGTTTTTGGTATATCGAAAGTATAGTTTTCTTGTTTCTTTCCAGGAATGGCCAGAGGAGGCTTACCCAAGTTATGCCAATGGGCCTGGCTATGTGATCTCATCGGATATTGCACGCTACATCGTATCTGAATTTGACAATCAGACGCTTCGGGTAAACATATCTATCTCTTGGAAGCTATCCAATTCCACTGACTTTTACTTGCGTCGTGCAGAAGTGGTGATGGCTAAATTGTTAATTCTTTATTGTGCAGCTATTTAAGATGGAAGATGTCAACATGGGGATGTGGGTGGAGAAATTCAACATCACTCGTCGGCCAGTAGAGTATCGGCATGACGTCAGGTTCTACCAGGCCGGTTGCTTCGATGGTTACATCACCGCGCACTATCAGTCCCCCCAGCACATGATCTGTCTCTGGAGAAAGTTGCAGTCCGGTAGCACCCATTGCTGCAACGTGCGATGACGATGGCGAAAATGTGTTGCACCGTCGGTCCGAGAGGAAGAGATGATCGGCTCGCATGCACATGCATATCAAATGTGGAAATCATCAGCTGCGCCGATGGGCCGTCCGTTTGACAAAGTGCTCTCTGCTGGATTTATCATATCATTCTTTCATTCTTTTGGTCGGTGGCCTGTTTCGAGCCGCTGCTGATTCTGACACATGAAGGATGGGCTTGGGATCCTTTTGACGCCTGTTGATGTTTAGTCCCGTCAAATTTTCTTGACATAGGAGCTTTTAGGTGCTTGGGGGTATATTGCCCTTTGTATAGAAAACTAGTTTAGGATTCCATTTATGATGTGGCATTTTATTTATCCAGAAATGAAACTTATGGTAAGAACCGAACTGAATAGCTCACTAGTCATCAACCGTCTCTGTTGATTGGGGGCGTGGTGGCTGTGTGCATCGATGCGATGCAGAGGCCGGGCATTCGCTTAGTGTGGTTGTATTACCTCGACATATCAATTGAATGAAAATGCCCTTCAGCAAAAAAAATAAAAGTGTCAGGGAAATGGCCAAGCAACAATAGTGTCAGGGAAATGGGTATAACTTCACAAAATGAAAATCGCTGTGTTAGCGAGTAATCTCTGTCAAGTAATGTCAACATAACAAAAGCAAAGGACCGCACAGGGGCGAAGGGAACTGGAGTGGACATGCTGCATCCTTTTTCTGCTAGATAGATTCAACACCAGATATTTAACTTCTTGTAACTCACAGATCCTTCTAATCATCAATATTTTCTTCTCAATTCAAAATCTAGAATGCTTAGATCCGCTAGATTATAATATGTGCTGGGAGAGTTTGAGAATAAAATATCATGAACAACATAGCCAAGACTAAGATTCAGGAACCACAGTACTGAATGGCGAACCTCTGCAATTACCAGAGTCTAGTCTAGTATATCACTCGAACAATTATGTTGTTCTACACCCCTTCAAGAAAGAGAACGAAGTTATCTCCCCCTAAAAGAAGAACGAAAGAACATAAAAGAAGAGAAAGAAATAAAAAGAAAAATATAAGTATATATTGTAAACTGAACCATTTTCTTCATCGGTGACATATGAGTTGTTACATATAACATAGGTAAACGTCTCGCTCGCTCTTTCCACGTACGCTAGGTGGGCTTCAAGCGAAACGTTTTTTTTTCTTCTGTGCTTCTTCTTCCTCTCGCGAGCGCCTCTCCCTGGAAGCATGTCCTCTCGCGAGCGCCTCGCCCCCGCCCCGCCCCGCCCCGCCTGCGAGCATGTCCTTTTCTTCCTCTCGCGAGC